TTTGAGCCCAGGAGTTCTAGGCTACAGTAAACCATGATCGCTCCACTGCACTCCAGCCTGAGCAACAGAGCGAGAGACTGTATATATATATATAAATATTTTTAAATACTGCATTCCCTAAATGCTTAATTTAAAATGAAACATAAAGCAACAGAGCACACTAAGTATAATGTTTCTAAAAGAATTCATAATCAGATCTATACCATTAAAATATTAGCAAGAAAGTATGCTTACATTTAGTTGCTTAATATATTCCTGCAGTACAGCCCAAAGAGATGCACATGCATCAGTGGCTATCATCAAAATGTAAATGGAACATATCAGCTTACATCTCTCCCTTCTGTGCCTCTGCACCTCTGCAGTCAACCTAATGAACAAGTCCCAATATACACTACCAAGAGGTGGTTTCACAATAGTATACCCATGATGCTTCTTTTCTAGAAATTATAATGAAAAGGATGTTTACAAATTGGCTAATTCATGAGGTCTACACTTTATCATACATTGTCACTCCAGGTCATCTCTATAGCTTACATATTGCAAAGTAACGATCTTTGTCCACAACAAACACAGGCACTTTACTATAAATTCACATTAGACCTATGGTTATAATCAAAACCATCTTCTAGATATGGAGATACTAGGAGAGAGCCCTTCCCTTTACCCTCCCTCTTCTCTCTCCTCTGCCATTCCAGCGACTTAGTACAGGACTATATCTAACTTCAAGAATTGGATTAACAAAGGTCACTCCCAGGAGACAGTCCTCCCTAAAAACTAACTAAAGGACATTTATAAAGGGATCATTTTACTACCTCTACTTTTAGCATACTTCGAGGATTAGAACTTGTTTGTCTTCTAATATACAGCAACATTAACTAAAATGCACATGTAGAACCATGGTTAGACAATCTCAACTAATCTAACTCACAGGCACAGAACCCTTCTCTGTGCAAACATATTTCTTCCACCCACCCGCCACCACCCCGTCAGCACACCAAGGTTAACAATTCCATTCCCAAATGCAACCACTCCGGTGAAATAATGAAAAATACATGAAGGGTGTTGCTTTAGTCCTCTACTTTTAGCATGTTGTGCACTTTTAAACACCGAGAAAGACTCGATGTTCCAAATAGGACTTAAGTTTTCTACTGTAAACACAGTAGCATTGAATCAATGGTGCACACACAGAACAAAGACTATAATTTGAAAGTGGTTTTTTTTTTCCACAGAGGAACCCTTCTCTTTCTCACCTCCATGAACCCAGGGGGCACCTTATTCACTCTTGCCCAAACACCTCAAGTCAGCTGCTATCTTCCTTTGCCACCTCATAAGAGGGAACATGGACCCTTGTTCTTAAGTTCCCTGAGCCTGGATGGGGAAAATCATTGCCGACCAGAGCTGGTTCCATTTGATGATGGACTTTTTGCTCAGAACCGTGACACCATGGAGACTGCCTTCTCTGTTGGTATAATGAGTAGACAGTACACATGAACCACTTCTTCAACAACTGACCCAACATGCATTCTCTTTCCCCCAAACGGAAGAAGTTCTAATTCCTTTCTTCCAGAAGAAATGGCATGGTGCCTAGAACACTGTAAATGCCTGATAAAATTCACTGACTGCTGAATTAGGGACTGACAACCTTTCAGGCTAAAAATGGTTGGCGGGTTTGCACTCACCTAATCCTGTCTCCCAGACATTGTCACTGAGCTTTCTACTATTGTTTCTCCAAATCATTGACAAGAATTCAGACTATGCAGGGTTTGCCTGTCACCCACATGACCTAACACAGTGCTTTGTACCTGGCAGTTGATTCTCCCATTGTGCTTACTAAGTGCCAGGCATTGTTCTAAGATCTTCAAATACACAATACACTTAGTCCTCATAGGTGTTAAAATAGGTAGGAACATTATTCTCACTCTACTGATGAGAAAACTGAGGCACTGAGGTCAAAGTGAGGAACCAAGATTTATATGCAGGTTGTCTGGTTCCAGAGTTCATGCTCTTAATCATGAGCTATATTACTTCCCAGAGAATGCTAAAAGTAGGTCTGCTTGGTAGTGTGTGTACACATATATGTACACATGCATATTTGTACACATACACACATAAGTACATATATGAATATGTAAATATATAACACTTTCTATTTGCCAATCATTATTCTAGATGCTGGGTAGTATAGAGAACAGTTCTTGCATAGAATAATTTATAAGCTATAAGAGAGAAACGAATCTATAAAAAGAGCATTTCATTGTGCTGAAGAATTAAAATCCAACTGAGTCTGTTTTATAGCAAAGATAGATAAAAATGAGACACTTTGGTTCTGTTTCTTGATCTGGAGCATGGTTACATGGGTGTTGTGAAAGTAATTCAAATGAAAGCTGTTGGAACTTTAAATTATTTTGAAGGACGTGTGACTGCAACCTTTGCCTTTCCTACTACAGATTAACCATTTTTCATGTTTTTCTTGCCCTATAAAATGTGGTGCCAGAGATAAGACCCCCTCTCTCTTAGTTACTGACCTTTTGTTATAGATTAAGTTCCTTTTTCTCGTACCTGACCCAGACCTGATGTCAAATAACCACTTGACTATCAAATTGCTCAAGGTGGAATGGTAAATATATCTTTCCTGAAAAAAAACAAACTGTAACCAATTAAATGGCTGTAACTCATAAGCTAGTGTTGTACAGAAAGTGTTGAAAGCCTGCTAAACTTCTTGCTTCTGTCTACATAAATGAAACAAGTTTCTTCACTTTGGAGCACAGACCCCAGCCCTGCAGAGCCTGTGTTTCCCAGGTGGCTGTCTCAAACTCTGCACTTGAACAAACGCTATAAAAATTGGATTCTGATCCTTTTGATTATTTCAGGTTGACGGTGTGTTCTCTTTCAAAAAACTTGTGAAGTTGTGTATCTGTGGTTTGTATACTTTTCTTTAGATGTGTTATACCTCCATTTCAATGGACATTTAAAACATTTAGAAGGAAGAAAAGAGCCTTAGATGCTTAGAAGATGTAGCGAAGAATTGATTTTGACTTGAGCCTCAGTGTCTGATCGCCTTCTGTCCTGTTCGGTGACTAACTGGTCACTTGGCTCAATTATACCATTGGATGACAATTATACCATTGGATGACATACCACGTGAAGCTGCTCTCACGTGGTTCTGGAAAATTCACTTATTCCTTGGCACCTTCTACTGCAGTTTCCACAGATAAGTAATTTTCAAAGAAAGAATTAAGTGAATGTCTTTTTCCGGTAAGTTTCCTTCTCCCTAGTATCAGATTTTGACTTGACATTGTGATAGTCACACAGGATCTGCAAATACACAGGCTTGACAAACCACAGAAGAGAACCCACATGCTGCGCAGCGTAGAGGCTGTCAGGTACCAACCCATCTGCTCTAAGTGAGCAGATGGCTCTGGAAACCCCAACACACCTTCTCTGGGTTGGACTTATTCTGGCAAAAATCCATTTTATAGCTCTTCAAATATGCTTGGTGCAATGAGGCACAAAATTCCATGGGATTAACATTTGCCATGCAGGTGCTTGACTTGAGTCCCAAATATGAAGATATCTGAGCTTTTTCATTTATTCCGTGACAGTATGTGTTATGGTTCAGTACAAACAGACTGTTTTTACCGGAAATATGTTTTGTTTCTAAATCAGTAATGGTATGTTTACTAGACATGTAAATGTACTTTTAAAAATATATATATTTTATTTTAAAGATGTGGGGTACAATTCAGGATTAGGTATACAAGTGGACATCATACAGGTAAAGTTTGAGCTTCCTTTTGATCTCCACTTTGTCTGGTTTGAGAACTGTAATTTTTAAAAACAAATCTGAGCTGGGACATATTTAAGATTGTTAGAATTTGACACTTATTTTCTTTCCAAATCATGTGTCTGACAACCTGTGGCCTCAATAACATAAATTGATAAATTGATATAATATTACAACAGAGCACGTTAGGAAACCCACAGCATATCACTGCCTCAAACAAGACTTGCATATTTGTTTATTTTTAGAAGCAAAAGTGCCTGGCAATTTAATTTAAGCAGGACAATTCAAACATTTGTTTCACTTAACTATGATAAGATGTCCTTCCATTTGGTTGTGTTTTTATTTCTATCATTTGACTATCCTCCCAAACTGATTTTACTATAAGTAGAAATTGCAAAATTTCAAAGAGAAAATATTTTTTAAAATAAGAGGAAACTTATTTAGAAATTTCTGTTTTCTTGATTAAAATAAAAAAGAACGTTAAGAGATAGTCACACGTACTTTATTGTGTCAATTAAGAAAAAAGATTTTCGCCAGGCTCGGTGGCTCAGCCTGTAATCCCACGCCTTTGGGAGGCTGAGGTGAGTGGATTGCCTGAGCCCGCGGGTTCGAGACCCGCCTGGGAAGTGAGATCTCATCTCTACAATAAATCAAAAAATCAGCCGGGCGTGGTAGCGCATGCCTGTAATTCCGGCTACTTGGAAGGCTGAGGCTGAAGGATCACTGGAGCCCAGCACGTCGAGGCTGCGGTGGCCGGGAGCGGCCACTGCACTCCAGTCTGGGCGACTAGGTGAGATTCCAACTCAAAAAAAAAAAAAAAAGAAAAAAAATTTTCTGGGTTTTTCTGTCAACAAGCATGTGTGGGCAACACATTTTGCACCCATTGTAGTTTAAGACTTTCCCCTTTCTTCAGTTTCTCTTCTCACTTAGTACTTGCATGTTCCCTCTTTCTTTGGTATCCTTACTAAACTCATTGTCAGGAAAGCTTAAAAAGCTCCTTTATACTAGAATGTCAATGACTACTATCTTCTATAAGAGTTATCTCACTTAAAGATACTGGCATTTTAAGAGAAATCAGAGGCTGAAGGTGTTTAGTGATGGGCAAGATGGGGATGGAGATGGAGGGTTTTTCTGGACAATAATCTTTTGAAGACCACCCAAGTAGTGTTCATTGGAAATACAAGTGCTAGCTTGCCTGTGCAGATTTGGACACTGACTAGCACATAGATACCTTGCCTGGAGCACCTGGTGGCAGGTGCCCAGAAATATTTGTGAGGGCATGTCCAGTAGGGCGAGGAGCAGCTCCTGTTTCCCAAGCATTCTTCAAAGCCTCAGGTTCTGGGAATTTGTGTTGAGAGTGCCGACTGCCTTTCTGTGCCCTCTGCTTCTCTGTGAATTCCAGGAGGGCTGCTGTGTATCTGCTCATGGCCGTGACCGACACAGCCATGCAGAGGGCGAAAGAACCCCAGGCGAGGCTGTCAAAAGAAGGCACAGTTAGGGAAGGGCCTAAGTCTGTGATTCCAGAGCTTCCAGTGGGGGCCAGTCTGATAAAAATCCAGCTCTTGGTTCTACCCAATTTGGATCTTCGGGATCAAAAATCCCAGAGACTAACTAATGTGTTGTTTAACCTGGTGTTTAAGAGAAAGAATTCTGGTCAGGCATGGCGGCTTACGCCTGTAATCCCAGCACTTTGGGAGGCTAAGGTGGGAGGATTGCTTGAGCCCAGGAGTTGGAGATCAGCCTAGGTAACATAGTGAGAACTCATCTCTAAAAAAAAAAAAAATTAGCCTGGTGTGGTGGTGCATGCCTATTGTTCCAACCAGGGAGGATGAGACTGGAGGATGGCCTGAGCTCAGGAGTTAGAGGTTGTGGTGAGTTATGATTGTGCCACTGCACTCCAGCCTGGACAACAGAGTGAGACTCCGACCCAGAAGAAAAAAAAAATGATAACAAGTTCTGAAGTCATCGTGCTGGGTTTGCACCATGGCCCCACTTCATATTAACTGTGTGACCTTGAGTTGGTTACTTTACTTCTTTGAACCAGTTTCCTCATCTGCAAAATTAGAATAACATCTATGCTGCCACATGGGATTATTATGAGGAATTCAATGAGCCAATGCATGGGAAGTGCTCAGCAAAGAAAGTATCTGCTACATGTAAGTGTTACCTACTGTTGTTGATGTAGTTGGCTCTAAGCCAGGACACTGGCATTGACACTGTTGTTTTTATATCCTTATCCAGACTGGAAGATCACTACATTCTGACATCGTGGTCTACACTTTTCATCCTTCATAGAACCCAGCGCTATGCTGGGAACATGGTAATTAGCATTTACTTTATTTTATTTTATTATTATTTTTGAGTTGGAGTCTTACTCTGTTGCCCAGGCTGGAGGGCAGTGGCATGCTCATGGCCACCCCAACATCGACCTGCTGGGATCCAGCGATCTTTCTGCCTCAGCCTTCCAAGTAGTCAGAACTATAGGTGCACTCTACCACGATCAGATAATTTTTGTATTTATTATAGAGATGAGGGCTCGCCAAGTTGCCTGGGTTGGTCTCGAACTCGCAGACTCAGGCAATCCACTCACTTTGGCCTCCCAAAGTGCTGGGATTACAGGCTGAGTCACTGAGCCTGGCCAGCATCTACTTTATACCAAAGACGTTCAAATGTTTGCATCACTATAAGATAGAGAGAAGGGCTAGGTGGTGGACAAGGAGTGAACTTAGAGAAGAAAAACAAAACTTAGAGGTAAATAGACACTTCCAAATGGATAATAATAATGATAAATAACAGTATTGTATGCCAGATGCTGTGAGGAACACTAAATTATCTAATTTAACCTCACAACTTATCCCCTGAGGGGGAAAACATATTTATCCTCATTGTCCATATGAGGAAGCCAAAACACAGAGAAGTTATATAACTTGTCCACAGTCGCCACTTGGAAAGTGGGACATCCTGGATTTGGCTCCAGATCCTGGGACTCCAGAGACAGCTGGCTTACTTGCTAGACTCCACTGCCTCCCAATGCTGTGTACTCATTCACCAGCGACACACCTGGGTTCTGGGTTGGGCCTGACCTTGCGTAATGTTTTCATCAGTGAATGATTGTACTCGCTTAAACGGGACAGATATGGGAAAATAAAGTAAACCCTGACTGTGAGAAAATATCTTTTTGGGGAAAAAATTTCCCATTGTCCACAGGGGATGCTGTATTCTGTGCTATTAGTACAATGTAGGATAAGAGAGGGAGAATTTCTCCAAATGTCTTCTGGTGGCATCAGCCAGATTTGCTACTGCAAATCCCAAGTCTGATAAAATGCTACACATTATCAAAAAAGTGAGGGAGAGGGACTTCTGGGTTTAAATGGAAGAATGACTTTGAGGGCTCATTGCGTCTCTCCACACTCCCACTGAAGTGAGTGAGAGTAAAGGGATTGTGTACTCATGTGAACACACAAGGGTAAAGAGCACTGGAGAGGAGATACGAGAGGATGGATACGGTTGGGAGAGGGATGACTAATTCATTATTAGTGAAGGATGTGGGCCAGAAAGTGTCTGCAATGAGGGCTACTGACAAGATAAGAAGGATGTCTGTTGTATTAACCCTGCTGAATCCTTGACAGGTTCAACATTTTGAGGTACAAATATGGCCAACAAAATCAGGCTATTGGCTAAAAGTCTGTATATGAATGGTTGAGCCCCCAGGTCTCTTCATTACCACAAACACTTCCTCCCAATCTCCTCTTCTCTCAAGAGAGCAAAGGTTTATTCTCTGGAGAAGGTAAATAGGAGGAAAGCCTCCAGATTGTGAGACAGCAGGATCAGTGGAAGGCAGGGGAAAGGGGCTGGCCTGAAAACAGAGGACTGTATTAAAATTTTCATACAGAGTGGGAAGCTCTCCACCCTCTTTCCTAACCTAACCTTGAAAACTATCAGCCAGGCATACAAGCTTACCCTGCTTCCTCAGATACTAGATGATTCCCCTCTGAAGACACTGAAAGGTTTCAGAAAAAGAGCCTCTACAAGCTGGCATATGAGTGTATTTTTGTGGATTGAAATCTCCAGTAAAATAGATGATACCATGTTCAATCACATCCAAAAAATATTCCAACCCTGTTCCAAAGCTCCCAGTTATCCTTAATGTGACTCGATAGTCACAGACACCAACATTTGGGGGAAAGTTTTAACAATAAAGTAGGGGGAGAGGGTGGTGAGAATTCTAAAGGAAAGAGATAACACAAGGAACAAAAGAAAACAACCACAAAAAGAAACCCCTTGATTAATATCCTCAGAAGAGTATGAAAGATGCTGCATCAGTAAAGCAAAATCAGGATATTATGTAAAAGGAACAACTAGAAAACACATTCATAAACGGACCTTGAACAATTATAATGGTATATATAAGAAAGCAATTGGCAGTAGTGGGAAACTGTTGGGGGGGTGGGAGTGGGATTGGTAGTTGAGGGAAACTGCTAGGGGAGGGAGGAGTATACCTCATCAACAAGGGTACCTGCATGATCAATGTTTATATACCTAACCCTGAAATGTACCCCAAATCTTTATAATAAAAATTTTTTTAAAAAGAAATTAAAATAAGATCCAAAATAGGAATTCAATAGACAAGTTAGAAGACAAGACAAGGACATGTTTCAGAAAGTATAACAAAAAAGAGAAAGGGATAGAAAATACAAGAAAAGCAATACAATGTTTAGGTAATTAACCCAAGAGACCTAACATCTAACTAATAAGAGTGTTCTATAAAGAGACCAGAAAACTGAGGAGAGGAAATAATCAAAGAACTAATACAAGAAAAAATTCTCAGAATTCTAGAACATGAATATTCAGATTATAGGGCTCTCCAAGCACACGAAGGAAAGATAAATGTGAAAAAAACAAGACCCCACCAAGAGACATCCTCATGACATTTCAGAACACCAGTAATAAAGAGAAGAATACAAGACCACCTTCAAAGGCATATGAATCCAGATGGTGTTAGGTTCTTGACAGAAACAATAAATGCCAGAAGAAAATGGAGCGGCACCTTTAGAATTCTAAAATTATTTTCAGCAATGAATTCTGTACTCCGCCAGATAATCAATCAAGTATAGAGTGTTGAATAAATGTATTTCCAGATATGCGAGGAATAAAATAATTGATCTCTTATTGAATCCTTTCTTACAAAGCTACTGGGGGTTATGCTTTCACAAGTGGATAGAATTGAAGTAAAATAATAAATGTGACTCAGGAAATATGCTCCAACATAATGAAGTAACACAGGGAAATCTCATGATGACAGCTCTAGACAGCTATAAGTCTGGAATACCGCAGGAAGACTGAAGGCTTTCAGGGGGTTGGAAGTAAAACCAAGGGGCCACTCTGATTAGGTCCACCAAATTTAACCTGCCTGCTTGCTTTTGGTCACTTGTTTTTGTTATCATTTTAACCCATATTGCTAAAAGCCATGTTACTAAACACTGTAATTTAACCTTCACAGGCTTCCTTACAGATAGCATTTCTGATCTGTATATGTCATCATGGTAATGGTTGCTTAGGTTATTATTTTTTTTTTTTAGGAACTTGGGGGAAAGCTTCTGTCCAGTTCAAACTGGTTGAAACCACTAACCCTTTAACTGGGCCTGCGTAAATGCCTGAGGGGTGGCCTTCTGAGGTCAGAGTGCCAAAAACTCCACCTTCAGATCATGCTAATGACACCATTTTCTGAATGTGCATCCTACGAATAGCCATGAACCCTGACTACACTTGTGCAGATCACCAATAGACTTCATTTTCCCCCACTGCCAATCAACTTTCCCCTCGCCTTAGACCTTAGGCCACTCCGCTTCTGTAACCCATAAAAATCCCTAAACTTTATCTTTGGTGAGAGGTGCAGATTCGAGAACTATTCTCCCACTGGGCCGCCCTGTGAATAGATTTTGTCTCTTTTGTGAAACCTGTCATCATAGTGACTGGTTAACTGTGAGGGCAGAATGAACCTGGTCAGTATCAGAAGGGTGGCGGTGAGGAGAAGATGGAAACGATAGATTTCTATGCTTAGTACTACTTGATTTTTAAAAACTGGTTGCATATGTTTCTTTTGTTAAAAATTAAATAATCAAAATTAATAGGAAACAAAACCAAAACGATATTGCAAACAAACAGACCATTCTTCAGGTTCTTTTGGTGTTTGGGATTTGCTTCCATCCACAGCTATAGGAGCTCATACAAATTGGCCACCATTGAGAATCCACCTACCATTCACCTAAGTTCTGCTGCAACTATGCTCAGCTGTGCACAGTGTCGGTGATAAACCCTCAGAACCCATGGCATCAGTTCGGAGGGAGGTAGCTGAAGTGACAAACAGGTGGAGGAAAGGGTGTACAGCAAAACATTTGTAAAAATTAACATCTTCAGACTGTGAAGATGAAGACTAAGAAGGTTCAAAATCTAACAAATCATGAAGCATATGGATCACAGTAACACAGATGTGTTCACCAAATCCTAGAATAGCAGGATGAGGGTGTGAGCCCTGAAAGTGTTATCTGTTTTACAGAGGGGAAAGTCATATAAGAGGTTGTTATGTAAGATGAAAATGTAACTATATGTACATCTATTTTTAAGATACAATACACTTCAGAGGTCCACATCAAGGAGAACCCTCCACGGTCTTGTATGATGTGGTCAAGTCTTTAGGTGAGAGGCAGAACTTTCATGTCATGACCTTGTCTTTGCATTAGAAACAGGGACTGGAGCCAGATGAGGTGGCTCATACCTGTAATCCCAGCTCTTTGGCAGGTCAGCTGGAGCCCAGGAGTTCGAGACCAGACTAGGCAACATAAGGAGACCTCATTTTTACAAAAAAACCCCAAAATTATCTGGGCATGGTGGTACACGCCTATAGTCCCAGCTACTTGGGAGGCTGAGGCAGAAGGATTGCCTGAGCCCAGAAGGTCAAAGCTGTGGTGAGCTGTGATTGTGACACTGCACACCAGTTTGGATGACAGAGTGAGACCCTGATGCAAGAAAAATGTTTTAATTACAAAAAATTTTTAAAAAACAAATGGTCTGGGTTTCCCGTCATGAAGTATTTAATAGAAGTTATAGATCAGGACACTTTCCCTCATGTTGTGTTTAAGAATGGAACAACAGCGCCCCCATTTCTTGAGGACTTTACTATATGCTAAGCATTTTATAAACAGAATCTCTTTCAGTCCCTATAAAAACATTTGATGCAGGTATATTCATTTTACAAATAAGGAAGCTGGGCTACAGACAGGCTACATCTCTCCTGGCCCATCAGGACTTCAGCACCATGACCTGGTAACTTACCAATATGACCAGCCATAGTCCCACGTCTGAGGCTTCCAGTCTTCTGGCCCAAGGTTCACAGTGATTTGAAAAATGGTTGTATACATCATGTGGGCCACCATGCCTAGGAGCCCTGTGCAAAAAAAGCTATGTGAGCCACAGTTGGGAACCCAACAGGATGGAAGAGCTTCTCTTCTGTGCATAAGTTGGACACAAGGAGCTCTCTAGCATCCATTAAAGTCCTTATGATATATTTGCACATATACATTCTTATACATTCCACCTGACATTTTGTTCCCACAGTTGGAACTGAAGAGATATCCAGAAAGAGGACTGCTCACAATCGGGGAGGACCTATCAGGATCTGGGCAGGAGTCTCCAAGAATTCATGATCTGGTTCTTTGCCAGGAAGATGGAGAAATTGGATTTTATTCTATTCTCTGATGATAAGACTTGGGAGAGTTGGGCACAGTTGGTGTGCACCTGTAATCCAAGTTACTTGGGAGGCTAACGCAGGAGAATCACTTGAGCTCAGGAATTTGAGATCAGTTTGGGAAACACAAAGGTACACCATCTCAAAAAATAAAATAAAATAAAATACAATTAAAAGAGCGATTAAGAGCTGGGCTTGGTGGCCTGTAATCCCCTGCCTTTGGGAGGCTGAGGTGAGTGGATTGCCTGAGCCCGCGGG